GACCGTGCTTTGTCAAATTCCACCTGAGGCAAATATTCTCTGAGAAGTCTTATTCCTCGATTTGACAAACTTTTGTCTTGGGTGAAAGAAATAAAAAAATCGCCTTCAATAACATTGAACGCATGCTGTAGTTGATGAGTAACTTGAGCTTCGTATAAGCTTGGATCACTCGTATAAATAGTGACAGTCCAATCAGTGCATCCTACCCTTGGTGACAGAGCACCAAAACTGACAGATCTGGGAATACCATCTTCGCCACATTTGTCGACAGCGAAATAGAAATCTTGACCGAATTCACGTTGGAAATGATCGATGTTTGATTGCGAAGCCTCCATGGGAATCCGATCAAGTACAATGGGGTTATCGGCAAACAATTTCTGAGCAACAGGGCTTGAAAAGATCGTGTCACAGAGGTACTCTTTCGTACAAGGCTCTATCAGGTCTGAGAAATTAACTTTGATAGAGCTGAGTGCGAAGAGCTTCTTATTTACAGCAGAAGTCCTAATAATTGTCATCTGTGTAATTTCTCTCGCGAGGGAAGGACACACTGTGGATGCGAATATCTCTCGCTGTACATCCGGGTAATGTCTTCGTGCGTACTCGTTCATTGCTTTTGATAGCCGTTTGTAAACACCCTGACCACGAAACACCGTTAATGTCCTGGCGGCCTGTCGAACTGCTGTTCTTCCATCGTCAACAACCGAGCACTGAACCAGTCCAACAAGTTTTTCGTTCGCGTGAGCTAACATCACCGCAACGTTGTTCATTTGCATCCAGTTATGAAATCTGATTGGAAGATAGTCTTGGCCATCATAAACACCCTCTGATAGTTTTAGGATCTCGTCAAAATCGCTGGTTTGAGCAAGGCGAAATGTAAGTTCAGTATTCATAGTTCTCTTCAGTTGTAGTACAGCTTTAGGGTTATTCGGTCTTCCCAAGGAAAGGAGTGATCGTATCACTGCACTTAAAAAGGTGGTATCATTGTTGTGACAAAAATGACTTTATTGTTTTTTTTTTGCTACGTTCAGTGACGCATTTATTGCACGCAAGTCACTTTTCTAGAAGGAATGTTGTATTACATCATCAACTTCCCGTTTTTCCGAGAATTTCTCGCAATGGTAAGTGAGCAAAATTTTTAATAGGAATTTTTTTTTTGCTATCAAACTTTACTGGTAAGAACAATAGCAATCTGATAACTCATTTCTTTGGGAAAGTCACTTGTTTACCATAGACTTCCTGTTTTTTAATGACACCACCGCGTGGGCTGTGCGTTGATTTCTTTGAATCAAAACCGTCTTTATTTCTGGGAATTATTTCCTTTACAGCATTTCTGTATCCATCAGGTGGAGAAGATTTAAACTACATTTATAGCCAATGAATGTCAAGACGACAGACTACACCTGTTTAAAAAATTCAAGCTCGGGTTTGTTCAAAGTTCATTTTTAGTTAGACCGTAACACCACAACTGATGTCACGTTCGGAAACATATACCAAAACAACAAACTGCAGTAAAAATATTAATCAACCGTCAGTCAAGCCCACATTTAAGACAAAGATTAAATGAAACTAAAATTTCACTTAACCATAAGTTAGCTGGCTTTCAGAGCAGCGCTTATTTATAACCTTCGATCAGGCGTTTTTTTGTTTTCAGTCCACAACCACAAGCCTTTCGCAATCGAAATTCGCCTGATCGCAAGTTACGCTTTTTAAACCGCCTATTCTTCACGATACTACTTTCCTAGTTTTTCTATTTTCATGATACTAATTTCTATAATCCCGATAACATTTTGACCAACGTGAGTCTGTCAGTCTATATAAGAATTCACTGCAAACGAATTTTCTAAATGCTTAGTTAAGAGCGTTGCTATTGTTAATTATTGCTATTGTTCACTTTATGTCACCTTGGGATTTACTTTACGCATCCAACCGTTTGATTGACAGCAGCTGAAATCTGCCAAGAGACTCATGTATTCTCAAAGCTTTATCTGCTGACCAATCACAACCGACTAGTTCAAGATATGCAAATAATTACGCCGCCCGCTGATTAAATGGGCACTGCAAGTACATGTCGCGAAAGACAATAGCATTCTGGGCGATGTTGTGTTTCTTAATCGGTCAGTGTAAAACGCAGACTGCAGACTGCAGACTGCAGACTGGGGGTAAAATGCAGACTCAGGGTAAAATGGAGACTGCAGACCAGGGGTAAAATGCAGAGTCGCTTATCTAGTTGAAATTTATGGACATTTCTGATTTATCTAAATGATGAAACTTGAGACTTCTATTTGCTCTTAATTTGTTTCAATTTAAGGAAGACTCCGCCATTTTTTCCAGTGAATAAAAACACGTCACAGCAAAACTGAATTTCTAAAGCATCCCTTGTCGGCTAAACAAGAAGCCCGGTGCAGGTTAAGTTGACCATCATAGCCACAGATTTACCACGGGTTAATACTGAGGTGAAACACCGAGCGGAACAAGAAAGGCAAACATCTGGGGATATAGTTGGAGGTTTTTTAATTAGACCCTTATCTCGCACCCACGAATTTGTATTAAATTTAAATTTGCAGGCCTAACTTCGCAACGCAAAACAGAGGTATGAGGAACAGGTTTTTATTGTCCAAGTAATCGAAATTGCCGATGTGTCATCAAAGTCTATCGTTTCTACTTTCAAGGCCAAACAAAGTATACATGAGCTACATGTATGCTTAAGCTCAGCACAACTGTTTATTCCTTAACAAGGGAAAGGTATTTAGCTGGCTGTGAATTGCATATTCAAACACTTACGTTTCTAGTCGTTCTTACCTTATATTAATATGTCAACGCCAAGACCATCTGAGTTAGTGAAGTTCGAAACATCAATAGCCATGACGATCATTGCCACTCTCTCACCACTTACGTTGCCTTGATCCCAGCTCACTCTTGACGTTTTTCCGGGGAAGCGGGTTATTTTCGAACCGAGTTTTCATTTTAACCCTGGTCTGCAGTGTGCAGTCTGCGTTTTACACTGACCGGTTTTCTTAACAATTTATTCCAGACAGGTGAAAATGGAGCTTTCTGCTTAATGACCAGCACGCAAATAATGAACACGTTCGTGATAAGTCTTGTCTACAATCACTTTATCACTTCAGCGTTAGCTGTTCTTGTTAGTTTTCAACTGAATACTAATGGTCCAGTTTCATATATTAGCATATTATGAAGTGTTTTTGAGACTTAGCAATAGATCGGACCGCGAGTTAAGTTCGCTAACGCAAGATAAATATTAAACACGTATCTCATATTCCTCCGTAATGATACATTGTTAACTCTGTGCTTATTCATAATTTTACTGGAAACTGAGATATGAATTTCCTAGGAGGTATCTGTCTCTCTCTGCGATTCACAAATTGGGAAGCTTGTTTCTATGAACAAAAAGGGGATCTAGAATTTAAAATCATGCGCTCGAGAGCATTATTTGCCAATTGGTTAGTTTGCATCGAAAAGGTAATATGACGAATAACATTGCTCTTTATTAAGAGTGTGAAAGAAATTGCTGCTGGATTTCCTGTTATATTGCACCCATGTTTGTGTTGGTGAAAAGTGAATAGCATTTTGCACTTGTTGACGGCTGAAGCATGCAACACAAAAGATAATTCTAACCTGTATTAAGCGGTCAACTACGTTGAGGTTGTGTTTTCGCAAGTTTGACAAGTTAAAGTCGGAAAAGTCTGAGAGTACAGTGAAAACAGCTCGTCCTTAGTTTAGCGAGTGAAAAATGCAAGCTGTTTTCACAAGAAAAAAACGAGGGTTTATCTTGCCCTTATGACCGGAAATTCCCGCAGAGTTATACTATCTCTGTGATGGTACAACTCGTCCTGATAAATGCCGCAGCCAATCACGTTGCCCGTAGTGACAGATGCCTGCCAAATCGTGAACTGGCAAATATTTTCCAGACGCTCGCGCTCACCTCCTGGTTCACTTTGCAAACAGTGCTTTCGAAATGGCAGACGAATTCACTCGCAATACTTTCGCGCTCCAACAATCCGTCGCATCCTCTCCATTTGGCGAGACATTAGTCGCAGCCTCTGAAAGAAAAGCCGTGTCACATGAGACATGGTTAATAATAAGAAATCCGTTAAATTCCCTACGTAGTTTTTTTTGCTCCTCAACTCAAAACTTAAACGAGAAACAACTTACGTTCCATCACGTAGCATGAGAACAATGTCCAAAGTCCAATCAGAACATACCCAATCATTGTACTACATGAACATCAGGCAATTTTTCACGTGCTTGAATCATATTCCACCGATCAAATTCTATTTTGCCAAATTATACTTTGCTCCATCACGTTTCATTTCCTGATAAACAACCTGCATGCATTTAATCCCGTATTCTAACCGCATTGATAGAGTCTGTTGGAGATACAACAGAGGTCCAGTTTGCTTTTCGCAGTAAATTTACGTGGAGTTATATTTTTCATGCAACTAACTGTAGACGAATAATTAAGGAACGGCAATGAGCGCTGTCTCTTTTGCAACCGTTATTTGGTGTCATCACGTAACGCGGTCTCTGTCAAACCGTTGAGTGACGAGACCAAACAACAGTTGCGAAGGAGATTCATCAATCCCAGTAGCCCGAGCGCTTTATGGGTGGAACTCCACCCATCATTTCCGCCAGTCTCGAAGAGTATTACGTTACTTCCGATTCTTTTCAAATTTACAGTGTAAGACGTTTAAATGTCAAACGAATCATGGAGCGAGCAAAAATTTCGGGACTTTCAAAAACCGACCACTTAATTCTAGGTGACCACTTCATACGATGCGCCTAAGACAAGTTCAGCTATAAAAGTCTTTTTAATTACAATCCTCCATAACTGTAGGTAAACCAACATGTCAATCAAAAATTGGAAACTTGCACCACGTTTCCTGAATACTCCATACGCGGGATCTTCCCCGTTTAAACTATAGCGTTCTAGAGATGTAAAGTTTTCTAATTGAAAAGGGGCCTATTTCTATTGTTTAAGGTTCTCAAGACTGAATCACATTTTCACAAAGGAAGAAAGTGGACCGTGTTTTGTCAAATTCCACCTGAGGCAAATATTCTCTGAGAAGTCTTATTCCTCGATTTGACAAACTTTTGTCTTGGGTGAAAGAAATAAAAAAATCGCCTTCAATAACATTGAACGCATGCTGTAGTTGATGAGTAACTTGAGCTTCGTATAAGCTTGGATCACTCGTATAAATAGTGACGGTCCAATCAGTGCATCCTACCCTTGGTGACAGAGCACCAAAACTGACAGATTTGGGAATACCATCTTCGCCACATTTGTCGACAGCAAAATAGAAATCTTGACCGAGTTCATGTTGGAAATGATCGATGTTTGATTGCGAAGCCTCCATGGGAATCCAATCAAGTACAATAGGGTTATCCAGAAACAATTTCTGAGCAACGGGGCTTGAAAAGATCACGTCACAGAGGTACTCTTTCGTACAAGGCTCTATCAGGTCTGAGAAATTAACTTTGATAGAGCTGAACGCGGAGAGCTTCTTATTTACAGCAGAAGTCCTAATAATTGTCATCTGTGTAATTTCTCTCGCGAGGGAGGGACACACTGTGGATGCGAATATCTCTCGCTGTACATCCGGGTAATGTCTTCGTACGTACTCGTTCATTGCTTTTGATAGCCGTTTGTAAACACCCTGACCACGAAACTCCGTTGATGTCCTGTCGAACTGCTGTTCTTCCATCGTCAACAACCGAGCGCTGAACCAGTCCAACAAGTTTTTCGCTCGAGTGAGCTAACATCACCGCAACGTTGTTCATTTGCATCCAGTTATGAAATCTGATTGGAAGATAGTCTTGGCCATCATAAACACCCTCTGATAGTTTTAGGATCTCGTCAAAATCGCTGGTTTGAGCAAGGAGGAATGTCAGCTCAGTAGTCATATCTCTCTTTGTAGCACGGCTTGAGAGTTAGTCGGTCTTCCCAAGGAAAGGAGTGATCGTATCACTGCACTTAAAAGGGTGGTATCATTGTTTTGACAAAAACGACTTTATTCTTTTTTTTTGCTGCGTTCAGTGACGCATTTATTGCACACAAGACTCTTTTCCAGAAGGAATGAAAGATAGCATCAGAAAATCTGATTGTCTGTTTCTTGTTTCTTTTTTTCCGAAAGATTATTGTTGATGATTAAACTGCAGCCAGAACATCTTTTTTACTAAATAAGATTCTGTGAGCTGGAACTTTTCACGCATGCGACATAATTATCATTACTCAGTTATTTACGTTAACATTTCAAGTTATTTTTAGTTTGTGAATTAATTCCAATTGGCTAGATTTCTAAATCATCTGTCAATTCTACTTCGGCGCCGTTTGCTTCATAATATTCTTTATATTGAGTCCGAAAATCACAAAGGTGAACTGCGGATGAAGACGCGAATACGAAAGCGATCCTCGCAGTAATGATCACTACTTGATCGGTAGTGAAAATAAGCCCTGAAAAAAATTCAAACCTGTGTGGGATTTGAACGCATGACATTTGCGATACTGCATGGTGCAGTGCTCTGCCAACCGAGCTAAAAGCCAACTAGGACCTTTTCATTTCGTTGGTTCCAAATAAACCCGTGATATGACGAATAAATGGCTGTGAATATATGTAATTGATTATGTGAACTGCGGATAAAGACGTGAATATGAAAGCGATCTTTGCAGTAGTGAACACTACTTAAGCAGTAGTGAAAGTAAGTCCTGAAGAAATAAGAAAAAAAAATTCAGGCCTGAACGGGATTTGAATAACAAGCCAACAAGCTGCTCCGAATTAAACCCGTGAAGTGATGAATAAACGACTGTGAATGTATGAAAGTTATATATGTGAACTGCGGATAAAGAATTGAATATGAAAGCGATTTTTTTTTCTTTTTTCTTCAGGCCTTATTTTTACTACTGCTCAAGTAGTGTTCATTTCTGCGAATACTCTTTAATCCTTTTGTTAAGCCAGGTGAAAGCTTAGCTTAGGGATTAATCGTCCATTTCTGAGTTAAGTTTATGTGGAAATTGCCGAGGGCAGGAAAGATCGCATGATTTTACTTCAAAGGATGAGATAATTTTTTTACCCCCGCTGAAATTAGCGAAACACAAAAAAGAAAGGGAAGGCGTCAAAATAAAGGCACTCAAATTGTCGTGTCTACTTCTTTTAGTTTAAGTGAGACCGCTAGAGCCACGTCATATAATTCCGTTAATTTTTGTCCTTCGAAGCTGACCTGGTATAAGAAAGTTATCCAAATAAAGTTAATAACTAGAGAGAGAGAGGACGCGAAACCGAAAAAGGAAACGCGAAGGCAGGCTTTAAAAATTGTCCATGATAAATATGCGTAACTGACCAAGCGCGCAGTCAAGATGGTTGTATATTGGACGAGTTCCTTTTGTTACGTTTTAATGGACTGAGACGAAGTTGAGGTCCTTAAAAACGCAATGAAAGAACGAGGTTAACATCATGCCTTTTTTTACCGTACAGGCTTGGTCAATAGAAAACTTTGCACCAGGTTTCGCTTTTATAATAGATGTTTGTCAAGAGATTATCATGTCTTGTGTTTATATAGGCCTATTTTGCTTACACGAGATGGCTATGCATGGATAAATTGTTAAATGCAAAACTGTTTCTTTCTTTCGGAAGGAACACTCGTCAACCATAGGACAAAATTGAGGAGCGGTGCAGTACTATCATTATAACTCAGCTGAGGATCGTCGAGATCTTTGAGGCCTATTTTGATTACAGAAGCTTGAGGCCTCACTCCAGCTATTAGATAATTAAAATACTACTGAAAGACAACATGTACCTGTTCAGATACTTATTATTTACATGTCAGTACAGTTTAAGTTTGGAATAAGTTAGCTTTCTTAATTCAGTGCCCTCGGTTCTTTCTCGGGCTGTCTACTTGATATTCTTCATAGTCATCTGTACATGTCTTTCTTGCTGGGCGACTATTCATTCAGGTACCCAAGGAATATTCTTGAATTTATATTTTTTGGAATTTTTTCGGTAATTTTTCTTCTTGTGTCGACAAAGTTCATGCAAGAATATGTATACGTACTTTTCATAACTTTTTAAACCTTTTTTTAATACGTATTTTTTTCAATCCTTCTTCTTCGTAGTTGCTTAAAGACCGAAGAAAGACACCGTTGGTCCGCATCTTAGTGACGCGAACGTTTATTTTTAACCCCGGTCACACCCGGTAGTTTAGCGAACGGCCAACAGGAAGTTGGAAAGAATGATGGAAACGCAGGGGATGATTGGCTATCATACCTGATTGACCATCCGGAACGCGAAGAGCCTGTGCCCGACTTCTCATTCCTCCCGTAGTTACCGCAAAATCCCGAGTGAAATGCGAGTATGAGGAGCTGCAGTTTCCCGGAAAAGGAGGTTTTAGAAATGTCATTAAGGTACACTTGAGCTTTTAGTATCAATTTAGCTTGCAAGGACGAGAACGAGAACACCGTAAAATCTAGATCTAAATAATGATTGGTTTCCATTGGCAAGATCGACTGTACCTTTCACAGGAGACATGGTGATTTTAGTATGATGGGAACACACACGAAGCATGCAAAGATACTCTTTTCAAGTGCCAATTTCCAGACTTGGTACGTTCATCGGCTAAAACACAAAGAGCGATAATATCCTGCCATGAAGAAATCTGTTGTTTTTGTGTCTTATCTCTAGCCTGGAACAAAGAAAAAATTCCAAGGCCCCATGAGGAATCGAGCCACAGACCTTTCGGATTCCGCTTCAGAGTACTGTACTCTACTGAGGACTAGGCGATCATTAAGTTTATATGTGACACTCAATCGCCATACTGCTGGGATGAGCAATGTCGAAAGCCCCGTGTGGTTAAATAGAAACGGACAGTTGCTGGATTTTAAGCTCGTTATTGAAATAAAGAAAGACCCAAGAAGTTCATTCGTCACTCAGTTTAAATCCTTATCCTTTATTTTTTGCAGGTACGAAATAAGCTGGAAAACTGCTTTTACGCTGTAAAGAGGATTCCTCTGAATCCAACGAATACTCAGTTAAACAAGAGGATCATGCGTGAAGTACAGCTGATCAGCCGTCTGAATCACGAGAGCGTCGTTAGGTGAGGATGTAATAGGGAGTTAAAGAAACGACAACGGCGACGCCATGGACAACATCGATGACACAATGAACTTATATTTTAACTTCGAATCTCACAATACTCTAAAGTCATTTAGTTTGTTTCTCACTGTCAAAGCTATCTCGATAATGAATATGGAACGCAGCGTTAAATTAGAAATAGAAATTTAAATTATTAGCCGTCTGTGTTCACGTTTTTCAGACGCAGAGTTTGGTCATTTCAAGTCACTGCTTTTTAGAGAACGCAAAGAAATTTATTAAGATTTATAACGCACGTCAGTGCACAGTCACTGCTCTGCTCATTAAACCTTTTGTTTCCATTGCCTTCGTGGTTTTCTTAATCTTCCTGATGAATCATTACTGGCGAAGTTAGCGTTTACGCACAAATCGCGCGTATAGACAGGCAACAAACTTTCGTGGGACATGTAAACACAGAGTGAATCTGCACAAGGGAGAAGATTTGAAATTAAAAAAAGTTCTAATGAGAATGGTAGGAAAAATACCACTGAGTTAACACATTGTCTAGTACAACTGTATTACAGAAGGCTGGATTTAATTTTTTTTTAATTCCCAGAAAGGAGAACAAGCAAAGTGATTACGGGAGGGCATTTTGAGTGTGGGTGAATTTTGCTTGGTCCTCTTTTAAGCAAGTGCCTCTTTTTACGTCCGTAGCTGGGTGGTTTTACAAGTTCTAATAACTGTTGTTAGTTTGGGAAGAAGATTTGCATTGAGTTAGTAAAGTGGTTGTCGTAAAGGAAATTTTGACAATGTGCATTATAAGGCGCCTTTAAAGGGAAACGGAGCGCAGTGCATTACAAACTATTATGTAATTTATTAATCTATTAAAGCTGTACTTTAGTGGGAGAACGCTTAGCTCTCCAACCAGTCTACCAGCATTCCACTCTTATTATCGACAATAGATAACCCAAATCAAATTTCATCATGGAGCAGATAAACCAGTTGGTTGTTAGTTGGCTATTGTCGAAGAGTCTCGCTAGGAACCACTAAAAACAAATTAAACAGGTACTTACGGCGAGACTCGAACGCAGGATCTCCGAAGCACTCGTCCGACCCGTTTACAACTGGTGGTTCACGCAGCCTTCTTAATAGTTACATTTTCCCTTCTGTAGATATTACTATTCCTGGATCGAAATCGCTGAGGAACAGCAACAGGAAAAGGTTCAAACAGCAGACGGGAAACCTCCCAGGGACGTGCCATCATCTGTTTCATCTGAAGAAAGTCTAATGAAATTCAATAAGATCGAAGCCCCAAGTGTGAGAGAAAGTAGAAGTGACGTAGAAGAATCTTGGCGGCAAGACGACGGAAAAGGGAAGAGCAATGAATCAGATTCGTCTTCAAGTGATTCGCAGTAATCGATTCGTAGTCCAAGTAAATTATCGTCATCTAAGAGTCACAGTGTGTCATTCTTTAATAGCAAGTCTGAGTCGTCTGAAGGGGTGGCGTTTAAAGGAAATCTTGAAGCGTCGGTTCTTCAGTTTGGAGATCTGTTAGATACAGAGGTAAGGTGGTCTTCAAAAAAAAAAAAAAAATAATAGTAATCACAAAAATTGGATTATTGTCGTGGCGCTTTTCTTTCAAGTAACTGCTAAATAAGAGAGAAGTCTGATGCGGCTTTACTTCTGCAACCTTGTCGTTCCGTCCGATAAGGGTGACTACCCGTCGCTTTAAGCGTGAAATTGGAGGGGCTTTGTAAATCAAGAAATGTGGAAGTGGTTTAAGACATGAGTGGCTAAGAATAATCCTTGGTTTTCCTGAGAAACTACTAGAAATGTTTTTGTCGAGCCTCCACCTCAAACGCAGGTATGAAAACATATTTCAGTTAACATGCACCTGCAGTCTACTCCGCCTTGAATTCTTATTAGTTAACTAAAAAAGAAAAAAGAAAAAACAGGGGGCTCAGTGAAATTTAAATATGTCCATTGCAGGATACGTTTGGGTAATTGTTATAAGTACAGAATACATTAGCTGAGGCTCGTGATCACAACGTTACGGAATGCTTCGGGAATAAACATACACCGGCCTTATTTATTATTATTTTTTTCTTTTTTCAAGTCAGAAGATTCTGATGAAAGGGTAGAATGGCAAGAGACTGGAAGTGAGTCCAGTGCCGAACACTTAGAGCTGCAGTAGTTGTACATCCAGATGGAATACTGTGTGATGAGCACCTTAAGGAACCTTATTGACGGGGGCTTGCATAGAGATAAGGAGCAAATTTGGAGGCTTTTTAGAGAGATCGTTGAGGGTCTGGTACAAATTCACACTCAGGCGATGCGCAAGTACTGCGTGGTGTAATGTTTTTTTTTCTCTTTGCTGCACAGGGCATTATTCACCGGGATCTTAAGCCCGTAAACTTGTTCCTAGATTCTCTCGGCCGCATCAAAATAGGCGACATTGGCCTTGCAACCACGCACGGCACGACACTCGGAGGCATGGGTACTGAGGGCACAGATTCAATCGCTAATGGCCAGCCTCTCAAGATGAACTCAAGCACTAAAGAGAGTATGACAGGCAAAATTGGTACTACGCTTTACGTCGCTCCGGATTTGGGAAAACGGTCTGGCGGCCGAATGAATTACAGTCAAAAGGCTGACTTGTATAGTTTGGGGATTATCTTCTTTGAGATGTGTTACAAGCCTTTAACAACCTCTATGGAAAGGGTTAAAGTTTTGGGAAATCAACGAACGGTAAGTGCATGTTTACCCGTGCTACAATCATATAAAAACGGAAGAAAGTGGTAATTTTTATCGTCCACAAGGAGAGATGAAAAGGGCGTTCATATGTTCTACTTTCGAATGTTTCAGCGTGAATAGGCTTTTCATTGTGTTTTAAATTCACTTTTTTGAGCCTAAATTGAAAAGGAAGTAAGTATGCTGAACAATATTCCGAGTTTATAATCAAGCCTTAGAGGCGACAAAGTCGTAGGTCTTTTCATTCTCGAGCATTAATTTCGCCTTTCATCAACTCTTTTGGTGTCCCGTTTGTTTCCTAATTAGAAAGGAATCATCTTCCCGACAGATTTTGACCACAAGGGCCTTGCCAAAGAAATGATCGTCTTCAAGTGGCTCCTCAAACATACCCCCGAGGAACGCCCTACCTCACAAGAACTACTTCAAGGCCAGTATGTCCCGCCTAAGATTGAAGATAGTCAGTTGGACGAAGTGCTCAAACACACACTCGCGTCTACGAACTCTACTCGCTACCAGCGTATGATGAAGGCCATGTTCTCGCAGAACGTTTCTTTAGTTCAAGACATAACTTACGATGTTGACGTTTACACGGGACAGGTTTCACCACATGTTTATATTTGTGCAGCAGATGGTTAAGAACGTCATTTCTTGCCCCTCGCACGCAACGTTATGGACCACAGTGGCACGCTTGTCACGCTCCCTTTCGATCTCAGGATACCGTTTGCGCGTTACATCGCGCTCAATGGGGTCGTAAACATGAAAAGGTTTGACATCGCATGCGTGTATCGTGACAAGAAGATTCTGGGCGCCCACCCCAAGGAACTTTATGAGTGTGTATTAGATATCGTCACAAGCTCGCCGGAAGACCTTGTGCCCGACGCCGAGGTTTTATTGGCGGTATTTGAGATAATAAACGAGTTTCCTTCCCTTTGTTTACCGTAATTAATATATTAAGATGAATCATGCACGTCTTTTGACGTGTTACCTGACTTTTGCTGGTATATCGGATGAGCGACAGGCCGAATTGATAGCAATTCTGAAGGAAGTTCGCAGCGAGAGGAACCACTTTGTTGAGAGCTTGCAGTTAAGCGATCACGCAGCGACGGCGCTTTGCTAGTTCCTCAACTTCGATGGCCCTGTGAATAAATTATGCGAGCATCTGGCTGGTACCATGAGGCGAAATAATAATAATAATAACGAAATTTATCAACTGAGTTGAATAATGAAGAGTTTCTAAAGCTAATGAAACTCTTAGAGACTCTTCGCGGTGTGAATGTTGCCATCATTAGTCATACTGACGAGCTACACACGCAATCTTTTAACGAGAGATCTATATTTACTTCACAAAGATAACTTAAATAGTACACAAAAATTAGTATAATTTTACCCCATTCATACCAAAGCTTAAATATCTTTTAAAGTTGTTTTGTTGAACACGGTTTATTTTTTTTTCTTCGTAGAAACTACTTGACCTAAATGTTTTTAAATTAAAATGTAGCACATTGGAAATGCAAGTTAGCAAGTACTTGACTTGATACCACACATTTGATGAAAACATTCAATTCTTCATTTGAACTGGTAGATACCTGTTCTATGCCACAACCTGTAAATGGAAAGACAATCGAACAAGTAGAAAGCAAGTTAAGACTTACTTCATCAAGAGACTTTGCTTCAGGAACTCTATATGCAAGTCAGGTTGCATTGAATTTGTCCAACTGTCAACAAAAATAATAAGGGAGACATGGCTGACAATCGTCTCTTACATAAATGGAGTCACTTCAAAAGAAAGAAATAAAATTATTTTGCCAATGATGTTTTTAAAAAACAATATGCCTGAGTGAAACGTGTTTTACTCATACACACTTCCACACTACCAAGTTAAGATAAATGTAAGAGGTAAAGATCATTTGCATATTTGCATATTTGCAGATTTCTGCATTTCCACACTTCCACATTGTCAAGTTAAGATAAATGTAAGGTTAAGACTTATTTGCATATTTGCAGATTTCCACACTTCCACACTTCCACATTGCCAAGTTAAGATAAATGTAAGGTTAAAACTCATTTGCATATTTGCATATTTCCACACTCCTACACCACTAAGTTAAGAGACACATTTTCACATTTCAAGGTTACTCTAAAGTGATTAATTTTATATGCAGCACATTCCATTGTGACGAAGTGTTCTGTGCTCCTCTACCTCAAGTGAAAGCCAAGAAAGGGGATGACTCCACTCCCGAAAACGCATTTAAAAAAATGGAAAATTTTAATTGAAAGATTATTCTTAGCTTTATTTGACTGGTTCCGCATAAGTGACCGTTCAATACAGGTGGAGGAAAATCCACATATGCCTTTAGATTTCGGTAAAGGGTGACCACGACCGCTTAATTGAGGTGAAATTTTCAGCAATTACAGTAAGTATAGCACCAATGCATTTTATTTTTCCTTAGAAGAATTTAGAAAATAGAGACAATAGACCACAAATACCTGTGTGAGTTCAGATAAATTAGGTTTTTTTCTTTCTCTTTTGGTGAAGTAATGCGACATTTTCGCCCGTTTAAAAATATATAATGCTCTTTTTTTGTAACAAAATGAAAACACTAGGTACACAGAGTGCCCCATCTTAACCTTAAAAAGAACTCTTGCATGCTACACTGATCTGATGGATTTGTAATCACGTTCATTGCAAGCTCGAACGACTAACAGAAAGTCACGTGCTATTGATATCCATCATTTCAGGAGAAGTTGCTCGATCGTATTAGCCGCGAACATAACTCGAAGACACTTTTTTGTCTTGCAGTCTCGTCACAAATTAGTAAGAGCTGCGCAGGCTACTACAAAAAAATTTGAAAATATTTGCCTAGATTTTCCATCTTAGTGTTGCGCGATGGATCTAACGACTTCATTTGTAAGGAGGAGGAGGGTTGGGGGGAAGGGTATCTTTTGTGCTTATCTTAATTTTAGGTTGTTTTCTTAGCTGTCTGATCATCCATCCGGCTGTGACTTGTACAAGTAGATATATAAAGTGTCCTGTGGTTAGTCTGCAATACAGGCGTCCTGTTAGAATAACATAATGTTACAAGCTCGCCACCGTCCATCCGGCCGGCCATGTTTGATGTAGAGTTAGAGTGGACGGTGAGGGGAGGTAGCGGGGAACGTCTTTATTTCTATTGCCTCACCCATTACCCCCTTTTCTCCTTTCTTCTGACTGTAGTTAGCCCCCCTTCTCCTCTTTTGGTACTGTAAAAATCAAAGATGGCAGCACTTGGACGCCAAAATTACGCAATCTTGTGATGGAAAGTGAACACCTAGATGGCTCACACCTCAGATGGCTCCGCTGAAATATGCTTAGTAGATATCAAATGGTTCTGGGCAATATCATTTTCCGTTTCAATTTCAGCGTAATGGGAAAAGCGTGATCCAACTTTGAGTTTTAATCAAGCCCCGCGTAATTTGCGCTCCCACGACCTTATTCAGTGGTCACTCGATGTTAGTCATGCGCACAAGAGCTATTGATTCAAGATCTTCTGAGGTGGCGAACAATGGGTCTGGTCTCGGACTGTTTCTGTGTTTTGGTGACATTTTTTAACGCAGTCGCTTAACATCGAGAGAGTGTTCGTGGAGAAAAGATCATTACAGCCAAGGTGAGCGTGCATTATCGACAATTTCAACTTCCCACATGTGATTTTGATCCGATTTGAACTGGCATACTTTAAGGTGAAGTCTCGGTTACTTAAATGATAGGATATCAACTCAATCGATTTTGTATATACTTGCTTCATAAGTGCTCCAGTTTTTTTAGCATTTGCTTGACAGCATCAATTCATGAAACAGTCGTTTAGCGGGAGCTTTACCCAGACGTATCTTGAAAAGGGTAATGAATAGGGCAAAGCAGATGAATCAAAACCGAGTTAAATTGACCTAAATCAGCCCAAAAATTCACACGAAGCAAAAGAAAACCACTTGAGCTGGGAAAATTTTGTCCATATTCAAAAATAGTCACAACTTTTTAGGTTGAGAGCGCGACTGTTTATTGCAAGAATATTCCTATTCACTCATGCGCAACGTGAAAAAATTTGCATTTTCACAGATGCTCACTGTGTGAGCTTGGACCTGTGGTTGAACGTGAAGGTAGAAAACACTTTTTTCTTTTAAAGTTATCTTCTCTATGCCTGAAAACGAGATCTCTAACAGTGTTGATGTGTTTTCAGCTTTTTAATCGGTTCCTCGGTCTGCTGATCCATAGTTTAGGTAACATCCGCTTCAAGACAATAGCCACGGTTTAACAAAAAAATTTGCATAAATCTGAACTAAACTTTTTAAGGTCATCATGTATGTAAAAGCTCTAAGGCCTTGAAAGTTCAGTTTTCAATTCAGTTCAAAGATTTATTCTCATTTAAAGAGCGCCAGAATACTTTACTTCATGCAAAACTTTGATTAGCAGGCGTAAGAATGAGTGAGATGTTGTTTATGACTATTGCTGTGTTTGAACATGTCATTTCATACACAGCAATGTCTGGTCCAAACTACCTAAAACACTTTAACTCGCGTTCGTGACAAAGACAGAATATCTGCATACAATATGAAAACAATATCAAGCAGAAAGTGATAAGAGTGGAGGAAAATGTCAACTATAGGACTGTCATATAAGCTGATCCAATACCAAATTCTCTGAACTAACATCGGAAAAGTTGTATGGTAAACTGTAACGAGAATTACCAATGAGATCTTCGGGGTGAAGGTTTAAAGTGCAGGATGGAGTAAAAGTGTTGGGTAACTGGTGTCAAAATGAGCGTATGGAAATGACTTATATAGTCATCAATGGCATATTTTAGACACCTTTTTTACAAGCAACAATTAATCCATCTTCCCCTGTTTCTGTTGTCTTGGAGTCTATATACCAACTTTCGAAGGAGAAGACAGTGGTAGCCAGGTAAATCCAAAGGTTTGAAAGTGCCAATTTTCAAGCATATATCCCAGAAGTTGTCCAAGATGCAAATATGTTTAAAACGATACCTACTTACGGAAAATTGGAAAGAAACAAGGGCTGTGTTTATTCATGGTGATGGAATAAAATAGTAATATTGCGTCATTTGATTTCTTGATCAGAGTTGTTCTTCAAAATTTTGTTTTCTATTAGAACCATCTGAAATAAATGGCTTCCTCCGTAGAAGAAAGACTAGAGAAAAACCTGGAATGTGGAATTTGCTTGGAATCATTCCAGGAGCCAAAAGTGCTGCCCTGTCAGCACACCTATTGTAAAAAGTGCCTTGAACGAATTATCTTTAGGGCTTCTGGAGGGCGTGTGCAGAAAATAACGTGTCCTGAGTGCCGAGTAGAAATGAAGGTGAGATGTGTTAACATTTATTTTCAAATATTTTCCTACAATACTGTCGCTGTTTGGACAATGAAGGACAAATTGAATCGTTAGGTAAAACACCATTGTAGTGAATGCACCGGTAGATTGTCAAATTTCTGAAATACGTGAAGAAATGACTCAAATAACAGTAGTTTTACAATGATAACACACGAGGTAAATGAAGATCGAACGAAGAAAGGAATGCAAGAACGCACCTGACAGTTAGGATACTTATATGAAACGACAGAGACACTCCAGGAAAAAATCTGACTATTTTTTTTTTTGGCGCGATAACTTGCTTAAAGATGCCAATAGCCCACAGAGATTGGAGACTAGGAAACCGCTAAAAGACGTTGGAACAGCCATTATGGCCCTTTCTAGTCAGAATAGCTTGTCCCGGACGTTCAGTTAGATAAACGAAACGCGATAGTAGCGGCGGGATGAAAAACGAGGGAGGTGTATGCGACCCAATCCAAACCAAATTTTTTTTCACTTCTCCTCTCCTATCGCTCTGTGTGGTATTTCGCTCCGTTTTACTAACTGGACTCCTGGAACAGGTTAGAGTCAGAAAAGCCAATTCTATCACCCACTAAACCTCGCTGCCAAATTGCGGACTGGAAAATTTTAATGAGAAAGCAATTATTATGTTGTTAAATGAGGCTGAGGGGGGCTTGGGGTAACTTTTCAACATCATCATCGTAAGGGCTATTGCAATTGTGCACTTACTGTAAAAATGATGTTTACTTTGACACATATATGGTAGAGTATTTTGGGAGAAAATTCAGACCTTTAGAATAACAATGTTGCATATGAGAACAAGAGATAATAAACTAAGAGAACTTATCTCCGTGACCCATGACATTTTTTTAAAGTATATTTTAAATTCCGCGTCACGCTTTGAAGTTGTTCGGATACTCAAGTTTCAAGTTACTTTTTGAAAATAGCAACCGCTCATCATCGAAACAAACCAGAAATGTTTGCCCTCACCATTCGAACATTTACCTCTATTGATTTATAGCCACACAGACGTATGAATCAATCACATCTTGATTAGAATGACTTCCCTCCTCTGATCTTTAATTTAAACTGGTTTGGTCGAGAGGAAGTTTTGCACGTGACATAATAAGCTTCAATTAAGAATCCTGTACAGATACCATCAGGTCTGAGATGCAATGATCCATGCATACAATTTAAGGTTGTTCATTTTTCTTTAATTTTTTTTCTTCATTTCTATCTTTTAGCTTCAACGAGGTGGCGTCGCAAGTCTTCCTTCCAGTTTTCTAATCAAGAGGCTCTTGGAAGTTAACAGTGATGCCCAACTTGATACGTCCGCAAACTGTGAGAAACATCCAGAAGAACCAGTAGATCTTTATTGCGATTGTAGTGAACCGATATGCAGAGCATGCGCAGTGATAGATCATCGTCTCCACTCGAATCAACCTTTGAGTAAGGTATTTGCTCGTGAGAGAAAAATGATAGCAACACTTTTGGAAAAAGCAAAACCGCAAATGTCTGCTCTAAAGGCAGAAATTTCGTCTAGAGAGGGTATCGAAGAAGCATTGCAACAAAACTGTTCAGATATTAACGAACAAATTGAAAACTTCGTCAATGCTAAAATTGCTCAATGGGAGAGTAAAAGGGAAAGTTTGAAGAAAGATCTGAGAGAAATGTCCACATCAAAGGTCGATAGCCTGAAACGACGAAGGGAAGCACTCCTTTTGCTGGTGAGTAGAGTAGAGAATGTCAAAGACATTATCAAGAAGTGTGGTCGTAGTAGTGAAAAGAAAGTGGAATTCTTGCGTAAGAAAAGCCAGTTCGCGGATCACCTAAAAGAATTAAGTGCAACTTCTCAACATATTCAGCCTTGTAATAAAGTTACCATTCAGCTTAAAGAAATCCACCCCCTGAAGATATATCCCAACGGACACGACGTCTCTAATCAGGCAAAAATTCGACTTCTTGAGTTTGACAAACAAGGAAATCGTGTTGGACCATCCGCTAATTCAGATTTTATTGACTTATTTAATAACTGGATAATGCTTTCTTATTTTTTATTTCTTATGGGCCTAATCTTCTTTTTCAAGAAGTCTTGATTTGGGTAAATGAAAATGACCGAGAAATGCACGAATTTGCACCATGAGGATTCTTTTTTTTACTACTAAACATGTTTGGACTCCAGAATCTCAATTAACGTCGAAGGAGATAAGAAATATGCTACACTTACCGGTGTCAGCGTGTACATAAATACGAACATGCCAACTTACAAAAAAAACCAGATGCATCAAGACGTTTCACAGGTAGGAACTGAAACAAATGTATTCACCCATCAATGTGGAACTTTCACCGAAGCTCAAGCCATGTTAAACAACAGCAAAAATCCTACCATGCGAACTCATCTTAAGATGTAAACATTTCAAAAGCAAGTAACCGAAGACGCCTTTTGGGACTTAGAAAACGTTTCTGTGATCTTTATATGCCACACCAACTTTAGGCGACAAATTTGAATAATGAACCGAGAAAACGCAAACCTGATGTAAGAAATCTAAAAACTTAAGTAAAAAGAGTAGAAAATCGTAACCATGAAGTAAGATTTTCCACAAGGTTGTGACGTTAGTCATCTTAATATACCTCTCTAGCCTGAAAGTTTTTTTTTCCCAATGGAAGTATCGAGGGAAGTCTTCATTTGTCTTCTATGAATTATGCGCTCATATGCACTTAGTAGGAGGATATTTGAAGGAAAGAGTTCTCTAGAGTATTAAGCTAAAGAGGTCTATTGGATATCGAGCTGTCGAGGCAGAATTATCAATTTATTACATTGATTATACAGTCACACAAAATGAACATGTGATCATGCAAGCTCGTGTAAGCGGGGGAGGGATGGGTAAGGACTCCTCCCCTCTCTTTCAACATTTTTCAATGTTTTGATAGTTTTTAATCATAAATGGAGAGCAGAAGCTTTATACTAGAACCCGGCCACGATCAGTGGAAGGAAAAAGTCTTGGGACGTGAAAATTTTTTCCTTACTAGCTGTATTGTTGGTTGTTACCTGGATAATTTTTGCCCATCATCGTAGAATTAATTGAACTTCTTATCCATTGCATCACGCAATTGATGTAAATGAATTGATTAGTTTACCTATACATCCATGTTTTCTGATTTTCGTGAAAGTTTTCGTTATTTTTATTTCAATTATAAAAGCATGGACTATCTCCCGAATTGAACGGTATGACTACATTTACGTTTCTGTTCATCGAACTTCATAAACCATGCAAAAGGCATCTTAAGTATATGGTCAAGCTATGACATTGCTCTCCGAACGCCCAAGTGTAAGCACATTCAGGGCATCGAAAGGAAATTAGTATGGGGCTAGAATGGTGAGAAACTGAACTAGCTTTTTTTATTCGTTTGTACGCGTTTGATTTTGGTAATTTCATGATAAGAAAGAAATAACTCCGCGATGTATCATGGTACTAATTTTTATCAGTCTTATATGATGGTTATGTACTGGCTTTTATTGTAGCTGGATTTTCTCCATGCCAAGAATGAACTATAAAGCAGTTCAATCAGTGATGGAGAATAGTGATGTTAGAGGATCTTAAACCTTTAACTCACACGAGTGACCAAGACAGAATTTCTCCTTACAATATCAATACAATATCAACCAGATAAGTGATGAGAATAAAGAAAAATATCAATTTGGGGATAATTAGTTGATGCAATACTAAATTCTCTGAACTAACGTTATAAGAATTGTACGGTTGACAGCAAGGAGAATTATAATATTAATCTGGGAATTAAAGGGTTAATGGGTTTAACCGATAGCCAGGAACAGACAAAAATTGACAAATTTAAATCGATAGTTGTAAAAAAAGTTGACCGCAAAAGTACAACTTTTGATGACAACAATGGAAAAATATCAACCGTTAGTCGTTAAAAGGCCAAACTTTCGGGGGGTGGGTGGTGTTTTGGGTTAGACCCCATTTTGATAACAGGCTGTAAGAGTGACTGGCTTATAAGTTCTCTTAACTGTATATTATCATCCTTGAATCAAATGTAAAGGTCATGAAAATAGAGGAAGTGGTCACCATTTAAACTACCTTTTGATCGTGAAATAAATTCTTCCTGTCATACCACAGTAAATGTGGAGAGAACAGTGTGGAGAATATGGATGCTAATGTTAAGGCGGAAAGGGATAATTCACGGCTGAATTTCGTGCTCCTTTTAGTTATGGAATGGCAATATTTTGTTATATTTATTTATTTTCTTGAACTACTTTAACAGATCTTTTTCGTTCAATTTCGTGTCCGTTAATATCATCACTGTAAAAAAGGCGATTATCAATATCACGGGCAATTAAGGGAGCAGTCAATTGAGGTTTGCTCATTGAATGATTGGCAGTTATATATTGTCATAATATTTTCAATAATAACAATTGAATAAAACGTTTACATAAAAGAACGGGCAGGTTTTTTGTTTTTTTGTTTTCGTTTGAGGAGGGATCGCGTAGTTTTCAGGGGTAACGGAGGGAGACCAGTCGTTGTTAGCATAATATAAAAGGATGGGATCAATATCAGTATCTGGGCAACTGCCCACTTACCCCTCCCCTGACCCAACATTAACCCTAACTTGTTATCAATAGACTGTTGTTGGGTTAGGGGAGGGGTAAGTGGGCAGTTGCCCAGTTACTGATATTGATCCAAAGGATGGACCTTCGAAATTGATTGCTTACCAATCCTCCTAGCCCTCCGCCTCCACCCCTCCCCTCCCCCCCTTCCCTTCCCCCCCCCTTCTCCCCCACGGTAACTAAAAAAAATACACCCGCTCATGAGTACTTCATGAAAATCATTCCATTTCGGAATGATAATAAATTAAAAAATTCGAGATGGCCTTTTTTGGAAGGGAATGAGATGAAGGGCCGGGGGCGGGGGAGAGGTCAACTCCGTCGGTAGCTCTGTTAAGCCTTGGACAGAACGAAGTACTAAGCTTATTTGTTTTCAAGTTTAATCGGGCAGCTTCCTCAAGCTTTAAAACACGAAAAATTATAAAAATGTTTCACAATTAAACGCAAATATTTCTTAAAAGGACTGAACACTTACATACTAGAGCTGTCTAAAACAAAGAGCAAAACAACAAAAGCTTAAGAGCAAAAGTCTAAAAGAGTCCGGCTTTTGTTTGGTGGTTTCCGTTTCCTGTGCTTTATTCACATGGAGTCCTTGTATATGGTGACTTCGATGTAATTGATGGTGTACCTTTCAGTGCTTTTAAAGCGATACAACTCAAAGGTCAGCCCCTTCCTGAGGCTCAGGGTATCAGAATACCGAGCGACAATCTTGTGGCCGTCATCTATGGCGCAGTAGGCAGATCCAAACATCTCGGAGGGCTTGAACGTCAGCTCAAACTGATCAGGGTTATTTTTTGAAGTGGAAGAAACAGTCGCCGCAACTTCTACATTTGGGTTTCGCAACTTGGCTCTGGCGGACTCGCCTTCAACAGCTCGGTAGGGACCAAATGTGGCGTAATCGTGGTTGGGATCCAAGAGCTGAATTCCCACAGAAAAGTCCCCGTCGGATATCATGTAGGACATCGGGTCCCGGGGCTTCTGAGGCTCGGGCAAAACGACGCCCACCTTCATCTTGACAGTGATGTCCTCCTCATTACTCAACTCGCCGCTTGGAATGAGAGGAACTCGGAAGATGTTCTCCCAGTCGGAAGAGTCGGGTAAAATATCGAGATTCAACTCATTCCCTTCCTTAGGAGAGTTCCACTCTGCATTCTTACGCAGCCAGTCGGGGAGCATGAGGCGATGGTAGAGCAACTTGGATTGTTGACGATTCATGACTTGTTTCGCTCAGCAAAAACTGGGAGAACTGGCAACACCTTCAACTTATCTCGAACAATGTGTTTGACTTTGCTCGCACGCGAATTTAAACCATTTGCAAAGAAAGCAGTAGGTGTGGCTCTGACGTCAATTGTGAAAAAATTGTTTCAAGTGTTTTGAGTATTGTAAGACTTTATTTACAAACATGTGCATCGGACCGAAACACGAAAAATCAAATAGTTACTTAAATACGGAGGTTACGAAGATTCATATGTTATATGTACTTTAAACAGTATTTCTTGCGTCACGAATTTAGGAGAGAAAACTTTAAATCTCACCGTACTCTGCCTTTTTGTAAAATACACGCATCACGTATTTATTGGTGGCTTAATCAACTGTCACGTATAAACCCTTTGCCAACCACGCTCACAATACGAAAAAATATATCACCTCTTATACTGAATTAAAAGCAGCCCACGCTCACAATACGAAAAAATACACCACGCCTTTCCCCCGCTTTGCAAGTTTGCACCACGTGGCATCAACGGAAATTTTTCTTACTTTGAACTGCTACACTCAGTTTGCTTTACAGCATTGAAAAGGAGATGGCAGACTATACCCGTTGGCAAAATTCATGCTCGGGGCTGTTCAAAGTTATATTTAGTTGCACTGTTGTGCAACAACTGATATCACGTTCGGAAACACATACCAAAACAATGAACTGCAGTAAAAAATTGATCAACCGTAAGTCCGGCCCACTTGTGTTTGTTTACAATTTATTCCAGACATGTGAAAATAGAGTTTTCTGCTCTCTTAATGTGGGATGTAGCAACCTGAAATTTACCTGATAACAAGCAGGAAAATAATGAATACTTTAGTGCTAAGCCTAGTTTGCAATCACGTTATCACTTTACTACGTCTCGTGTTTCTAGCTTCTTTCGTGCTCTAGCCGCTTCCTTCCTGCCTTTACAACAGAAAAGAGCACGGTCAAGGCCTCTCTATTAGTTAAATATCATATTAAGCGTTCAACCTGTATTTGACGTCATCCTGATTCGCTATTCAACGTGGTTGACTGCTAAATGTAGGTTAGAATGTATTTTTTGTGTTGTATGCTTCAAGCGTCAACAAGAGCAAAATGCTATTCACTTTTCACCCATACAAACATGGGAGCAATACAACAGGAAGTCCGGCAGCGCACGTAAGCAAACAAGGATAAATCAGCGGCACTTTTAGGAGAAAAATCGTCAAGTGAACGTGAACTTAAAATTTCCACAAGGAGTTCATATTCTCTAATGATTGCAAATGCCAAGTACGATACGTTTTCACGTTGCGCTAATCAGTAGGTAACAAGACAGTTTCTTGGACAAACAAAGCAAGTCTCTGTTGTGATACTACAGTGCAGCCCACGCAAGCCTGACTCAGCCAACGCTAAGAAAACCTCTTCTCCACACACCATTGAGCAAAGACAGTTTGCTGAAGAAACCTTGTGGAGTCACGATTTCTTGCACGTTCTTAATAAAATGCAATGTACAGAACCTCGTGAAAAAAATTCTAGTTTCTTTGATTTTGGGGGATAAATATGGATCAAAAATTGCAGGAAAGATTATTCTTAGTTTTATTTATGTGGTTCCGCTTTCAGCGACTGTTCTATACAAGTGGAAGCTATAAAAACAGGCCCTTGGGACTTCGTAACGGGTGACCGCAACCGCGGGCTAAGTAGAGGTGAAAATTACGGTGATGAAAGAGTAACAAACTCAGTACTTTGACAACTGACAGGTTGATACAGAGTGACCGATTAATACAGTGCCACTTAATTCAGGTTCGACTGTATCTTAAGGGAGGATGTCAGCATCCATCGAACAAATTTGAAATATTGTGGCAAGTCGCCCAAAATTCGTTCTCTCTCCTACTTTCATATTTTGTAGTCCAATATGTCCTAATAATTGTGGTGTAGTTTTTTTTGTGAAAATATATTTTAGTTTTCGAGAAATGAGTTTTTTCGTTCGACCGCTCAAATATGCAAATTTTCACCCTGAATATTACCTGAGTTGTGTGACCTCATGTAACGAATTTACTTGACCTCCGGTATTTCTGTCGGCATAATACTTTGTTTTATCATCTAAACTTAATCCCCTGTCATTATTGAAGCTGGCAAAGAAATATTTTTTTTTTTGGTGAATATTTTTGTCTGACATACTTTTTCTATGTCGAAAAGTAGCATCAAAACAAAGACAGTTTTAACAATGACCGATGTGACAGAATCTACTGAGCTTCTAGCTTTTAAAAGACAAAAGGATGGTTATAAAGTTACTGTAAAAATTTCCTTGTGTATTTGTGTCGTGAGACGAACTCAAAGTACGGCAAAATTTACTTGCTACTGACTATGAAATATACATGGTGTGCTTACTTGTCGCCACCGTTTATTGGCATATCGAGGCATAAATCACTACCATTTGTAAAAAAATCTAACATAACACTTTTACGTACTGTTGACAAGTCATTGTTCAGTTGTCATTGTTATTAGTTGTTTAATAATCAGTAAGTCAGTCAATTTAAGTCAGTGAAGTATGATTTAATTTATCTTTTATATTTAGAAAGTGTTCAATGTGTGAATTCGACTTCCGAGAAATGCACGAATTTGCACCATGAGGATTCTTTTTTTTACTACTAAAACATGTTTGGACTCCAGAATCTCAATTAACGTCGAAGGAGATAAGAAATATGCTACACTTACCGGTGTCAGCGTGTACATAAATACGAACATGCCAACTTACAAAAAAAACCAGATGCATCAGGACGTTTCACAGGTAGGAACTGAAACAGATGTATACACCCATCAATGAGGAACTTTCATCGAAGCTCAAGCCATGTTAAACAACTGCAAAAATCCTACCATGCGAACTCATCTTAAGATGTAAACATTTCAAAAGCAAGTAACCGAAGACGCCTTTTGGGACTTAGAAAACGGTTCTGTGATCTTTATATGCCACACCAACTTTAGGCGACAAATTTGAAGAATGAACCGAGAAAACGCAAACCTGATGTAAGAAATCTAAAAACTTAAGTAAAAAGAGTAGAAAATCGTAACCATGAAGTAAGATTTTCCACAAGGTTGTGACGTTAGTCATCTTAATAGACCTCTCTAGCCTGAAAGTTTTTTTTTCCCAATGGAAGTATCGAGGGAAGTCTTCATTTGTCTTCTATGAATTATGCGCTCATATGCACTTAGTAGGAGGATATTTGAAGAAAAGAGTTCTCTAGAGTATTAAGCTAAAGAGGTCTATTGGATATCGAGCTGTCGAGGCAGAATTATCAATTTATTACATTGATTATACAGTCACACAAAATGAACATGTGATCATGCAAGCTCGTGTAAGCGGGGGAGGGATGGGTAAGGACTCCTCCCCCTCTCTTTCAACATTTTTCGATGTTTTGATAGTTTTTAATCATAAATGGAGAGCAGAAGCTTTATACTAGAACCCGGCCACGATCAGTGGAAGGAAAAAGTCTTGGGACGTGAAAATTTTTTCCTTACTAACTGTATTGTTGGTTGTTACCAGGATAATTTTTGCCCATCATCGTAGAATTAATTGAACTTCTTATCCATTGCATCACGCAATTGATGTAAATGAATTGATAAGTTTACCTATACATCCATGTTTTCTGATTTTCGTGAAAGTTTTCGTTATTGTACTTCAATTATAAAAGCATGGACTATCTCCCGAATTGAACGGTATGACTACATTTACGTTTCTGTTCATCGAACTTCATAAACCATGCAAAAGGCATCTTAAGTATATGGTCAAGCTATGACATTGCTCTCCGAACGCCCAAGTGTAAGCACATTCAGGGTATCGAAGGGAAATTAGTATGGGGCTAGAATGGTGAGAAACTGAACTAGCTTTTTTATTCGTTTGTACGCGTTTGATTTTGGTAATTTCATGATAAGAAAGATATAACTCCGCGATGTATCATGGTACTAATTTTATCAGTTTTATATGATGGTTATGTACTGGCTTTTATTGTAGCTGGATTTTCTCCATGCCAAGAATGAACTATAAAGCAGTTCAATCAGTGATGGATAATAGTGATGTTAGAGGATCTTAAACCTTTAACTCACACGAGTGACCAAGACAGAATTTCTCCTTACAATATCAATACAATATCAACCAGATAAGTGATGAGAATAAAGAAAAATATCTATTTGGGGATAATTAATTGATCCAATACTAAATTCTCTGAACTAACGTTATGAGAATTGTACGGTTGACAGCAAGGAGAATTATAATATTAATCTGGGAATTAAAGGGTTAATGAGTTTAACCGATAGCCAGGAACAGACAAAAATTGACAAATTTAAATCGATAGTTGTAAAAAAAGTTTACCTCAAAATACAACTTTTGATGACAACAATGGAAAAATATCAACCGTTAGTCGTTAAATGGCCAAACTTTCGGGGGGTGGCTGGTGGTTTGGGTTAGACCCCATTTTAATAACAGGCTTTAAGAGTGACTGGCTTATAAGTTTTCTTAACTGTATATTATCATCCTGGAATCAAATGTAAAGGTCATGAAAATAGAGGAAGTGGTCACCATTTCAACAACCTTTTGATCGTGAAATAAATTCTCCCTGTCATACCACAGTAAATGTGGAGAGAACAGTGTGGAGAATATGGATGCTAATGTTAAGGCGGAAAGGGATAATTCACGGCTGAATTTCGTGCTCCTTTTAGTTGTGGAATGGCAATATTTTGTTATATTCATTTATTTTCTTGAACTTCTTTAACAGATCTTTTTCGTTCAATCTCGAGTCCGTTAATATCATCACTGTAAAAAAGGCTGTTATCAATATCATGGGCAATTAAGGGAGCAGTCAATTGAGCTTTGCTCATTGAATGATTGGCATTTATATATTGTCATAATATTTTCAATAATAATAATAATTGAATAAAACGTTTACATAAAAGAACGTGCAGGTTTTTTGTTTGTTTGTTTGTTTTCGTTTGAGGAGGGATCACG